ATGTGTCGGATTAAACTGCTCCAAACCTGTCGTACAACAACTTGATACACCTGACGAATCTTCTTGACCAAACTGTGAAAGGGCTAAAAAGAAGAGCTAATAACGAAAACATAATTATTTCTAAATGAGACATTAATTATTCTAATTAACAAGAGTTTATCCTAGTTTTATTTTGTCAATTAAAAAGATAAATTAATATATTTTACTTATAGTATGCTTGCAAAAAGTAATGTACCTTTTCGAGAAGGAAGTTGACTATCATTTAGATTACTATCTTCATAATAGCTATCCTCAAAGAGTAATACTGAATTACCCATCACTGAATCTGTACCAAAGCAAATCCTGAAACATCATGAAATTTTTTTATTCGAATTTTAATAAATGAATAATTTCCCCTTTCTATACATCAATTGCAAACACATTTTTTTTTAATCGTTAATTAATTTAATTTAATTAAGAACCGCATGCATGACGAATCTTGACTTCATTGATCTAATAATGTAATTTTATCGTATTTTTCAAAAAATTTATCGTATTTTTCCTATAACGAAGTTCATTATCATTTACTGATAATAAATGTCAATGTAGTAAAAATAAAATGCTAAAAATGATCGTAATGAAATTATTTGATGATAATAGTGGTAATAGTGGGAATTAATTCAAACTAATTTGAAGCATATCGAAAAAAAACGATTGATAATTATTTAGTTATGACATTACTTATTTTAATTAATTTGATTAATATGGTATATTGATATTAACGCATATTTATTGATATGAATGATATACATATAACATTTACTGATATTATTGATAATTATTCATTGATAATTAATTATTTATTTTTGTTGTAGAAGTAAATTACCCGGATAAACTTCTTTTAATTTCATTAATTATATGCGCAAAATGTTTTTCATATAAATATGGTATTTCGTAAAATATGGTGCGAAATATTAGTATACCTATGCTATATTTACATTACATGCATTATGCAAGCATGCTATCCTTATCACTAATAATTATGATATGCAAGGTAGTAAAGTCGGGTTGGAATACTACATGTAATATGAAAAGGTGTGGAAAAATAAAGATGAAAATATTGCATCCAACGTACGTGAACATATTACATCACCGATTATCGATCATTTTCAATTATTGTTGAATTTTTAAATTTTGTTATAATTTAAAATTCATTAATTTCATACCATTTTTCTCAAAAAAAAAACAAAAAAGAAATCTAAGCAAAGTTAATTTTAGAAATTTATAGTTTACATTAAAAGTCAATTAGCAGAAAGTTTGATTTACGTCATGAAAAAAAAATCAATTAGCTAACTTTTCATCCGTTAAATGAATTTCTTGCGTATTATGAAATTTTTTTTTTATTTTTTCGAATACATAAGTTAGTGATTATCGTCTAAAACAAAAAAGCTAAAATTTATTTTACTGATATTTTGCTGAAGTGAGAAAAAAAGGGGGAATTTTACTGATTTATTGATATTTCGATATTTTGCTAAGGTAAAAAAAGTGAAAAAATAATTTTTCTTTTCCATCGAATTATTTCATTCCATTTCATTTTTAATTTTTTGCAAATTTCCCATTTCCAAGCTAAAAAATAATCATATATTTTTATCGTTTTGCTAACATATGCTATTGAAATTTTTTTTTGAAATATGCAAAAGAAATTTTTGTCAGTTGATAAAATTTGTTGAAAAAAATTATTCTTATTTTCTTTTCTTACTGAATTAATACTGTAACTGTCGCTGAAATCGCGACGAGAAGTAGTGAATCAATAATTGCTTTGATACTATTGGTATAATGTATTGTATGTATAGATATACTGTGCAATGTAAACTAATATTGTATGTCCACTATATTTGTGTTCTCGAATAATAATAATTCTTGTGATCCCAGATGTAATCTCAGAATTGACCTCGGAATTGACCTCAGAACTATCCAAGAATCCGCCCAATTTGAGGAGGAAGATCCTGAGCACCAAATCGTGTTCCAACAGGTCGGTTGGGAAAACGATAACGGGCGTCATTTGCGCATTGATTCCCCTTTTGTTCATATTGATATTATGATTGTTGAATTTGTTTCTGTATTAATCAACTCATAGGAATAAAGGTTTAATTACCCATGTTTAAGGTAGTATCAATTAAAGAGGTCCTCAATTTCTGTCACGGTTGAAGAAAATCGGCGACAGTAACAGATACATTGAAATTCCATTTTATTTTTTTCTTAAATTTTCATTTTCAAAATTAAAGAAGTATTATTAAATTAATTTTCCAAATAAAATGATAATTATAAAAAAATCATATCTTCCTCTCTTCTTTTCTTTTTACCTTTTTTTTTCGTCAAATTCCAATCATTATCTTTATATTCATATTAATCTAACATAGGAAGTGCAGTAACATTTTGTTTCAAAAAGTGATAGCTTTTTTTTTTTTGCCAGTTACGTAATACACGCTATATTAGCATAATCACGTGATAAGCTATGGTTGCATAAATAATACGCCAATTTTATCTTTCATAAAATTCACCGTATCATTTCTATAATATAAAAAGGTTGTAATTTGAATATTAATAATTAAAATTAGCTAAAAAAAAGGTCGAAGAACTACGTAATAACCGTGTACTTAAGCGTTCTCAAAAAAAAAAAAAACGATATGTTATCTAAAATTGAATATATTTTACTATTTTTCCTCAAAAAAAAAAAAACAAATCAAAAAAAGTGAGCATTCTCAATTTGTTTTTGCTTAATAATAGCTATTTCCAATAAATTTCAATAAAATACTAAAAAAAAATGTAAAAATTTTCTATAATCAACAATTACTTGCAAATACATCTTGTCTGTGTCCGTGTTTTTTCTTTTTTTTTTGTTAATAATTATTCCTTGTAATAATTTCCAATCGTTTTTTAATAAATGATTTATACATGTGATTGTTTAATAATTTTCTATATTTTATAAATATTTGCAAATATTTTTGTTTTTTTGTTCTTTGTAATTATTTTGTAATCTTTAATCTTTAGCCTTTTTTTAATAATTATTTCCATACCTATGATCTTCTTTAGCAATTGGTTGAACAGGATGAGAAATGATTGTTGTTGGTGGTGAAAAAAAATCTGCTGACATTGGAGATATTGTCTGAGTGTAATGTCCAGCTAATGAAGCAGCAGATGTAGTAGTAGTAATAGTAGTAGTAGTGATCGCAGTAGTATCAGTAGTAGCGGTGGTGATAATTGCTGCTGATAATGAATCAACTGGTAATGGTGGTAAGCGTCGATGAACTGATACGGTTGATGATGGTAAATGAGTGAGAAATCCTTCAGGTAATACTAAAAAATTCATTATCTTAAATTTTGGTAATTTTTGAAATAAATTTTTGGATATTTTCTGGAAATGAATTTCATTTATTTTTTGTTATTAAATTAATATATGCTAAGATATTGTCATGTAAATATATTTGGATATAATTTAGTATAACAAAGAAAACCGATTGCAAACAGAAAAGAAAAACGGATGAAGGGAAATTTTCCGGAAAATTTTTGCACTTCCTTTTCTTAGTAATAGTAGCAGTAGTAGTAGTAGTAGTAATGGTGATGATAATAATTGGTTTTAAAATTACAATTTCTGAAAAAAAAGAACTTCCTGTCATTTTTCATCTAGTACTTTTCATTTATTCACTAAGATTTTGGAACAGATTTGTTATCATTAGTATGATAAGGAATGAATGATATCAAATATTACTGCTGAACATATTTATGACAAGTTTTAATAATACTGAAACGACGAATACGGTAAATGTAAAGAACAGAGAGAGAGAGAGAGGAGAGAGAGAGATAAATGATTTTTAAATAACTAATAGTTTTAATTTTTAGCTCAAATAATAAAGGTGAAATTCGATAAAGGTGAAAGGTGAAAGTCTTTCTTTTTAGGTTAAAATTTTAAAATGGTCAATAATAGCTTAATATTATTCTTTGCAGTCTTTCCTTTTGGGTTAAAATTTTAAAATGATCAGCAATAGCTTGATATTATTCATCTCTTATCATGCTAATGATAAAAAATTTAAATTCAAAATTTTATTGCATAAATGGGAAAAAAAAGTTAAATTACAGCAATAATTAGATTCTAATGATTGTCATCATCTTTCAACCTATCAATCAACATGTTGGCATCAAATTGTGACAATTTCAATTACAATAAAAATGAATTTAAATTTCAAATTTAATATTTTCATCAATTTTTCACGCAAAAAAAATAGAAAAAAGGAAAATTCTCTTCCTAAAATGTCCATCTAAAAAGGTAAAGAAAAAAAAACTAGAATTGACAGCAAAATAATTTGGACACATGTCATCATAATTCGATAATATTGTGAAGCTAAATGGAAATTTCAAAGTTTTAAGCAACATCTAGTGAATATAATACATACATACATACATACATACACACACATACACACACACGCACACACACACACACACACAAGTTAATAAAGAAAATAATGAATTAGTTAAATGGCAAATTACTAAGATATGAATGAATCTAATTATGAAGTTGTTTTAATTTATATTCAAATGAATGGTGGGGGCACGAAATGGACATTTTTATTAAAATTGTCCACAGAAGAATATTTGATTACATTAAACTACGAATGCTTAATTAATTACAGAAAAAAAGAAAAATAAACAAAAAGAAAGGAAGGAAAGAAGAGAGAGATTTATCCAGTCATTGATGAAAATAAAATGTTGAAATTCTAAATGCTGGAAAAAGAGGGTAGAGAAAAAAGGATTGGAAATAATAATAAATAATAAATTATACATTTTTTTTTAAATTTAATTTAAACAAAAAAATTCGTTCAGTAATTGATATCATCAAAATTCTTTGAGTTTGGATTTTGTAAAATTTTCGCATGATTTTATATATTTGATAAGATTTCCAATGATAACTTATTTCAATAAAAATGAGAATAACAAAAAAATGCAGAAGAAAAAATGCTAATGAAATAAGTAACAGGAAAAAACTGATAGGATACTCTGTGCTGGAAAAAATATGATAAGGAAATGATGGCAGTTGATGATGCTGATGATATTTGACAATTTTAATAATAATAATAAGAAATAGTGATGACAATGATGGTAAGAGGAAACATGATAATAATAATTAATAGTAATAGTAATAATAATAGTAGTAATAATAATAATAGTAGTAATAATAGTTAGTAATAATAGTTAGTAATAACAGTAATTGATGGTAATTAATAGTAACAATTAATAATTAATGATAATATTAATAATAATAATAATAATAATAATAATAATAATAATAATAATAATAATAATAATAATAATAATAATAATAATAATAATAATAATAAAATTCCCATTACCTTTATTTTGTTATTATTATTATTAATTATTATGAATTACAAAAAATTGTTAAAGAATAAAGGAAATGTAGAAGAGGGAGAAATGAAAGGTCAGGGAGAAATAAAAGCGGTAATATATATCCTTATTCATTTTCAAAATGATAACCATGACACTTTTATGAAGAACTGAATTGGTCGATAGAATTGCGTAATAGCCGTTAAGCGGTAATATCACTTTGAAGTTTTATAGTTAAAAAGGAAAAGGTTTAGTTGAGGAAAGGAAGAGAGAGAGAGAGAAATGATAATGCAACAATGTGTGGTTGACCTTCACCGATAACCCTTTCTATAATATTTGTAAAACCATTCTCACTTTGTTTATTA